ACAAGACCGTCAAAGAACAAACGTGGCCATAAATGTGGTCATTCGAGTTAAATGTAACTGAAAAACATCTTCGATTCACAAACCAAACAAACAGACCAAAAACAGAAAAATTGCATATACAATATAAATAATGGTTTTGTAACTATTACATTCTATGCTTAAAATTAGTCAAAAGCCTTAAAATAGAGTCAACATATGTGGAAAAAATGAGTAAAACATCAGAAGAAAGAACAGAATCCTTAAAGGAGATGGTTTGAGATTCAGCCTAACTTCTAAAATTCCTCGATTCACAAACCAAAAACCAATAAAACATCAAACCAGAAAAACAATTGAATGAACCTGAATGAGGATTAAACCATCAGGACGATGTGTGCTCAGGTGGGTGAAGGGAAGGTAGAGAACCCTTAAGAAAAGAAAAACGTTCCAGACTCCTCATTGATCATCCAGAAACTTGCCAAGTGTTAAGCCATAAAAATAACTTTTTCATCTCAACCAAGACCTTAGATAAAAATTATAATTAATTGAAATAATTAGTACGTTCAATTATGTCTGCAAAACATATATAGATTAATGAGACCTACCTTTATGCCAAATTTCAGGTTTCTACCTGTACGAGAAGTGCCTTATAATTTTGATCATGAAACTACCACCTCCCTCACTAAATCGGCACTAATTTTGAGAAAACTTTCAGATTCTTACCTTTTTTTTAAAATATAAGACCTTTCTTTGTACCAAATTTCAAGTTTTTACCTATACGGGAAGTGCCTTATAATCTTGATGGTGGGTGTACACCCCCCCAAGCAGTACTAAATTTGAGAAAATTACAATTTTAAGATTTTCCCTTTACTTGCTCTACAGCCTACCTTTTTACCGAATTTCACGTTTCTAGTTCTCCTGGGAGTACTTTACAATTTTGATGATCAGTCAGTAACAAAAGTGCAAATTTTGAAATTCGTCCCTTTCGAAAAGGCTTAAGGCTTAATATTAAGTGCTCAAGTTTTTACAATGACCTAAGCGACTTAAGCTTAAATTATTTTTCAAATTTCAAAAGCCCATCTTAAGAGGAAGCAAAGATATGAGGGTAAGAAAAACCGGATGAGTAGGTTCAAGTAATACACGTGGCAGCTTGCTGGAACTTGGCCAGCGTACAGCTGTGCGCTCATATCTTCAGACGTGCGTTTTCCTTATTATTCTGCTTCATATATTTTGCACATATGTGATCCATCAAGAAAATCAATTTTATAAAATGCAATTGAATAGATATTGATTTGACGTTTTTTTCTTACATTTGATTTTTCCCCTAATACCTCTAACCTGATTAAAAAGTGGGAGGCAAGCAAAAGGTACGATCTGGTCCTTACGTAAAACAAATAGCTTACATCACAAATTGTACGCAATTCTCGATTTAGACTTAGGCCGAAACTACATGTATGCCTCTAGTGTGACAACCAATGGCGTGTCTTGGTCTTAAGGGCGAGAAGTGAATTGCTCCAGCTGAACTGCCAACCGTGGAGACAGGACCGCTCCACCATTGCTCCAATATCTATTCAAACAACGTCCCAGAGGACACTTTTCATTTCATGGGAGTATGCCCTGTTCTAAGTGAGTTCTGCTGGAAGTACTTTGGGAAACTGAAGCTGGGTAAAGAAGAAATCATTGTAATCCTTAACGGAACGTATAACAGGAGGAATTTTGGGGCGTACCTTACTCATGCCCTTCGTTACCAAAAATATTTGATCGACTTGAACTTCTAAACTCAAATAAGTGTATCTTAATAACAAAAATAGGTATAAGTGTATAAGGCAACTCGACAGACGACTAAGGTCATTGTCAATAATAGCTTTTAATGTATGTACTCTTGTGAAAATAAAGCATTTATTCATTCCTATTTGATTTTACGTGACCAATCACACAATCCACTCCGATTTAAACATGTCCTATGACCCAAAATTGGCTAACTCCAGCTACAATAAATTTCAACTATCCTCCCAGGATAACCAGTCCAGCTCAACCCTTTCTTCCAACCCATAGAAGACTGAATGAAGCGCAGGTGGCCTCGCGCCCATCTGATTTTAAGATTTTGGCAGCTCCTGGGACTGATGTTGACTTCATGTCATAATGGTTTACTCACGCCAGACATTTAAATGTGCATACAGTATTGTGTGTGTGTGTGTGTGTGTGTGTGTGTGTGTGTGTGTGTGTGTGTGTGTGTAATTGTAAATAACATAATTTTTTATCGCTTATAGTTATAAAATAAATATTGTTATAAATAAATAAATAAAATAAAGATTGATAATCTCCATGTCTTTGTAATTACTTGAAAAATATGAAGCACACTTTACGCAAAAATAAATAGACGTGATACTGTTTTGACCAACTAAAACTAAGTTTAGTAAGAGAACATCAACGCGTTAAGTAAATAACTTGAAAAGTTGTTATTTTTGAAATATGAAAGTTTCTTCTCAAAATCAATTGTATTTTCCCGGATCGGGAATGGCAGAAAAAGAAATGGTCCTGGAGTGAAGGGACAAAGTTAAGAGTTAAGTTATCAGGGGTAGGGCCTGGAGCTTCTCTCCCGTACTTCGAAATCTCTTAGTTTCCAACATTTCTAGGCATGTTTGTTAGACTTCATTCGTTATTTCTTAAGCGATCTACTTTGCGGTAAATTATTTTTTATGGTAAATTCGATGCGAGTACAAGGTAAGTTATCATGTTTGCTTTATATGTTTTCGCTCGTTCGTGCAACGATAACTGGAAAATTTACAAACAACTATGTATTCGAGATTGTCCCTGTTACTAACAATGTTTTCCATGTACAAACACTATATTTCAATATGATAAAATAAAGGTAGATCTGATTTGGAGCCTTTGTTAGGGCTGATCTACTTATGTACAAAAAAGAATTCATGCCAATAAACATATTTTATTTATATTTATTTTATTTTATTTTTTTTTTTTTTTCAACAGCAGAGGTTATAACCCTGGGCGTGCTGGTGTTTTTGAAAAAAAAGTCCACCAAGTAAGTATGTCGGGTTCAAATGAGGGCCGCTAGATTCGAACCCGGACCTTTACCTTACAGTGATGAGCGCCGTGTAAACGCCTAAACCGTTGCGGCCACCGCCGCCCCCATATTTTATTATTATTAATAATTGCAACTAAGCTGTCATATAAAATATTTTGTGCAAAATCCACTGTTTAAAAAAATTTAAATTAACTTTTTTATCTTGACCCACATTTTTTGGCCTTTCTTGTAACAATCCCACTACACTGTAGGATTTCCGCTGGCCCCAAGAGGCTTCCTTCCTCCCACAAATTGGGAAATGTCGAAAATTTCCAAATTTGGCACTGAAGTTGGTAAAATACTGTACGTCGAACCGACAAAACTAGCGACGACAGATAAATCTAAATGATATGAAACGACCGGGCGATGGACATCTTACAGACAGACTGACCCTGTGGCGAAACCTCACTATTTTAATTTCACCTTTTCTCGGTTGTAATGGTCTGGGCTGGGATATACACTGGAGGACGATCTGAACTGTAAATTGTAAACAGTTGAAGGTAACCTCACGGCCGTCCATTACGTCCAAGAAATTATCGAAGAATACATCCCTCAAAAACCAGTTCTGTTTTTGATTTTTGGGTAACAATGCCAGATAACATAAAGGCACAGTTGTTCATCAATGTTTAAAAAACCTGGGAATTTCCCATCTGCCCGTTCCCCCATTGTCTCCAGACCTCAATCCGATTGTGCCCATTTGGGATACATTGCAGAGATGGCTTATCGATCACCATCCGCAGCCAGTTGACCTGCAACAACTGAGAGCAGCGTTGCAACATCTATGGAGTGAAATTCCAAATTGGTGCACAGAAGTTTTAGCTAACAGAGGACATTATACACGGTATTAACTGTTAAAAAAAATGATTGTGTCCAATAAACAAAATTATGGAATTAAAACCTTGTATTTTGTTATTTTTTAAAATCACTCAATTATCTTTTCCTTCAGTAAAAACATAATAATTTCTAACAAATTTTAATGCCATTAATTAAAATGCAAATGTAAATACTACAAAATTCCCACTATCCCTATTCATTTTTGAGCAGTTTAAATGATCTGAAACGACCAAATTCCGAGACATCTCACACACAGACCCTGTGGCAAAACCTCACAATTTTAATTTCACCTTTTCTCCTTTAATGTGAACGTTTCCATTCGTATTGATCTGTCAGACGCTTTTCGACCTTTCTTGTAACAACCCAACCAAAATCCTATGTAGGATTGATTTTTGCTGAAGATGTTGTTGAGTGTGGCACCGTTCTTGCTGTGGAACTCCCTAATGGTGTTTTTTTATAAATAAATATAAGCCTTTAGTTCCAGCAGGTTTATTTACATGGGAAGCTTTTCAATTATTTTATAATCATTTTCAGCCCCTTAACTCACAGCCTTGCTATTTATATATTTTTCTATTTTATATATTTTTTTCCATATCTATGGCATGGTATGGAAAAAAATATAAATAACAAGGCTGTGAGTTAAGGGGCTGAAGATGATTATAAAATAATTGAAATGCTTCCCATGTAAATAAACCTGCTGGAACTAAAGGCTTATATTTATTTATTAAAAAACACCATGATTTTTGCTGACCCCCAAGAGGCTTCCTCCCTCCCTATCCCACAAATTGGGAAATGTCACAGATTTTTAAATTTAGCAGTGAAATTGACAAAATGCTATACATCCAACCGACAAAACAAGCGACGACATGCTAATTTAAATAATCTGAAACGACCAAACTGCAGAAATAATAATTGTTAGAATTTGCTTCCGGCCTAATGGAATTAGGTAGTAAACATGCCAAATGCTTGCTGAAAGTTGTGACCACACTCACTTCCATGCGAACCCATACTTGTGATATGTATTTGTGATAATTGTTATAATATGTTCACCAATTAGTCAGTTCTTACGTATGAATGGGGAGTGGTAAAACAAGTTTCCCTGGACCGAAATAGGTTACCAATCATAGGTCTTGATCCTGGTGCTTTAGGTGTAATTGGCAAAGTCGGGATTGTGAGAAAATTGCAGTTTCTCTGTTGAAACTTGAAAGGTGCTTTCGCCTCGACAATGTCCAATTGAGATTCTCAGCTCGAGCCGGGAGATCGTCGGCTGATCGGCAGAACCCAAGCTGGTGGCTGGTCTCTTACAATTCACAAATAACAATCACAAATCATGGCGGCAACAGACAACAACGGCAACTCAAACGGTGTCGACTTCGTTGAAAAAGAAACCGCCTTCAACGAGTTCTACAGCGAGGTGAGTTAAAAATCACAAAATTTGACCAATTTCAAAATCAAATTTTGCAACCGATTCTGGGCAAATATTTCACCAGTCAAACTTTGGTGTTTATTGTAATGCCAAGCGTCAGGTTATGTTTGTATATATTTTTTATCTACTATAATCCTGACTATTCTAATTTATTCTGGATATTTAATTTTTTATTTACATGATTAAAACACCTTTCCCTTTAATAAAAATCAATTTTTTTTTATAAAGCTGCATGCAAATTCACTTCTTAAACAATACAAAACAAAACAATTGTTTTTCAGGTAAAACAAATAGAAAAAAGAGACTCAGTTTTAACTCCAAAACAACAGATAGAGAGGCTTTTGAGGCCCGGCTCGACCTATTTCAACCTAAATCCATTCGAAGTTCTTCAAATCGACCCTGACATCTCCATAGAAGAGGCCAAGAAGAAGTATAGGAGAGTGAGTTAATTGAGCCTTTCAGTTGACACCCTAAGTTCAAATTTTGACAATTTGATGTATCCACTTAGGTAATCTATTAAGAAAGTCAGTAAACATAGGTTTATTGTAGTGAACAAATGACTTAAAACGCAGACACGCTGGAAGCTTTCATCGTGTCCGACTGTTCCGCCGATGTTTGACAACAGATCACCTAGCCATTTGAATTTTTTCATTTACAAACATTTTTACTGATCTATTTTGAAATGATTTTTGAACTAATGTAACAATATTTCGTTTGTAAAAATTAAAATTATGATAAATAATACATAACTAATTAGTATTGACAATTTTAAATTCTAGTTATCGATATTGGTGCATCCTGACAAAAATCAAGATGATCCAGATAGAGCACAGCAAGCTTTTGAAAGTAATATTAAGTAAAAATAATTATCCAAATCTGTATTCTAAATTTTATACTTCTTATATTTCCAGTTGTTAACAAAGCGTGGAAGACATTGGAAAATGAGGAGACGAGAAAAAAATGTATGGACGTTATTGAAGAAGCCAGGGGAAGGACTGATTTAATGGTAAACTGACAAAATCAATACGTTTACTTGTGAATTACTGGGAGGGAAAAAAATTTCAGATTGATGAGAAGAGAAAAAGACTAAAAAAGGAAGGTAAAGGCAGTTACGTAGAAGAGGACGATCCTTTAAAGTACAAACATGCTGTTTATGTCCTGACGATGAAGCTGTTCGCTGATATGGAAAGGAAAAGACGAGAGTTAGAAATGAGAGATACAGAAGAGAGGAAGCGTAAAAGAGAAGCGGAAATTGAAGAAGAGGAAGCTGCAAAATTGAGCAAAGAATGGCAAAAAAATTTTGAGGTTCTGTTCCATTCTCTCATTCTCAATTTAAAAAAATACGTACTATATATTTTTCATACACAAAATTGTTTTTTTAGGAGTCACGTCAGAATCGTGTCGACAGCTGGAAAGCATTCCAAGCAGGAGGGGCATCCAAAGTATCAAAAGCAAAAAAGTTCAAAGGAGGTTTAAAGCCTCCCAAGCATAAAGCCGAGACAAGATAACACGCATAACGAAATCAATTGAAATAAAATAACTGTATAGTTTATACAAATTTAATGTGTGTTCAAGGTTTCTTTGAATTTATTTCTTAATGTAAAGTATATTTTCTCTTAGATATAATAAATTGTAGAGCCTTGCAACCTTTGTTCGAATTTGTAACGCCACATCGAAAAGCCAATATGAAGCTGAATGAAAACTGATGTCCAAAAGTCAGCTAGATTTGTGTAGTAAAACTTGTGACATAAATTAAAATTCAAAAGTACATTCTTTTAAATACCAGCCCTAAAGACATTTTTAGCAAACCTCAGACATAACAATGTTACAAGCACAAGATAACATTTATGTTGTAAATATATTTATGTTTATTATTTGTATTGTAGATAGGTCTGCGTTTGTTTGTACATTAATAAAAACTTTTCTCTCTCTTTGTATTAATTTTTTTTTCTATCTTTGTAATAAAATGTTCCTGCTTTCTTTTTCTTATAATTAAAAGTGCAATACATATTAATAATAATTATAGTTTAAAAGTTTCTAAAAATCAACTCTAAGTCGCATTCCTACCTTCCAATCATAATCTCACCCCCTTCCTACCAAAAATGCCATCCTTCCACAATTCTACACCCTTGGAGCAAACCTGGATAAGTAAAAGAACACAACTTATCAGGATTGTGAGTTTAATGTTTAGACCTTGAATTATCAACATGTTTTTAGGTGTCAGCAAAGGAACGTTGTGCGTAAAATGAAGTAGTTTCGACTTCATCAATTATCCAGTCTGTCAGGCCTAAAGACTTACTGGAATATGCACTTATCATATATAATATATGTATCATTCAGCCACAATTCAACATATTTTGCGTTGCCCCCGAGTGTGAAGATAGACTAGTTAGTGTATGTGTAGTTGTTTTGTTTGTTTTTATAAAGGGTGTCGACAGCTATATGAGTAAATAGTATTTATATGAGAGAGTATGTAATAAAACTATGAATTAGGGGCCGAAATGACCTGGTCAATAGTCGATAGCCTACTTTCAGTAGTGGTACGAATAAAACCAAGTTCTGGTCTCGGGTCACCAAAACGCTGAAGTGGTGATAATTTTCACTTCAGTTCTGCACACATGTATGTTTTTTGGTGCACCATAGGAAGATAATGCACCACCCTGTATGTGCATGATTGCAATTATATAAATCAATCAATAATTAAAATAAGGTAATGCCACATGATAACAAATATTATCCACACTATGGTTTATGTTTTCTTCCAGGACCTTTATCTTACAGTGATGAGCATCGGGCCAACACCTAAACAGTTGCAGTCACCGATGCCCCCAGTTAATGATTTATATAAGCTTAATTCTGCACATGGATGTAATACATACACACATGTTGCCGTTTTGAAACAATCAACTCGGTTGAAAGGAACTGGCTAGAAGATGAACCTAACATGCGCAGGAGTAGGCATAACCTACCTGCATACCTTTGTTGGGAGATTCGTTGATTGAATACCGACGAGTCTATGGTCAGAGCGGACAAATTAATTATTAATGATGTTCTATTTGCCTGGGATGATTCAGTCAGTCCAGTCTATAACCAGGGTTTGGGATCAGTGAAGCTGAAAGAAATAGTCAAGATCTTTCCGGTTTCATCAACCATCTTCTCACGAAGCCTCTGAACAACATCAGGACGACCTCACCACATACTCATCAATAAGTGTCAATGCCCTACATCAATAATTCTTTAGAACTTATTAAATGTGCAAATTGGATTCCAGCTATTAAAATATATAAATATGGTAGACCTAGTGGAGGAGTCTTACATGGATTTAGAAATAGTTTAGTTAAGAGGAGAATTAATGTTGTAAACATTGGAAATTCAGAAATAGTTTCATTTGCCACTAGTAATAGTCCTAAAATATTTATTATTGCTACTTTCTTAAATTACAGTCATTAGGAAAAATTTTCATGATTCTGCCAATCTGATCATGGAACCATCAAGTGATTTAAGAGTGACATGAATTGGCCTGTTCCAGGAGATTAACTCTCAATTACCTATCAACACCTAACATGATTATGTAAGAAGTTCTAAAGATAGTGTGGTGAATATAATTGGTACAAAAACCGTATAAGCTATACTTATACATATACTTAATTAATTATACACAAGTTTTTCTAAATGAAAAATTTGGGTCACAGGCGGGATTCGAACCCAACCTTCGGCTCAATACGCCACCGCTCCAACCACCTGAGTTACTGAGACTTCGCTCACCATGCCACAAACTTCTCATTTCGACTCCCATTTTATTCCAATTGTTATACTTAATGGACGATGTAAAAGTGACCCCAGACGGGGGATTTTACTCATTTAGGAACTGAAAGTAGCTCAGTTACTGACTTGCGTCGCGTCTCATTAGATATACACCCCATTATTCAAGACTTCTCTGCAGAGTGTGAAGTCTTTTCTGATCATCACCCAGTATCATTTTCATTAAAGTCTGATAGAAAAATAATTACCTTGCTTTCCCAAATTAGGTGGCGTGTAGACAATAAATCTGGTAATCAAGAAATGTTGGCAAAAGAGGTTCGAAATTGACACCGCCATGGATGGAAACGTTACTAAGCTATTTGGCGCGAAAATTGCCTTAACCTGTGTCGTAAAAGTAAAATGTCAGATTAAGAAGGCTTACTTTGAATTAAATAATGAGTAAACAAATTGTAATTATTGCAAAAAGAATTTAATATTACGAGAAGCAATTAGAAAATTTTAAAATGTTCAGTAAAGATTTTTGAAATAATGTGAAAACTATTCATAGAATCGGCAGTGAGATCTCGGTAGCCGATTGGGTTCATCAGTTTAAAACATTCCTGAACCCACCCCGTCCCTGAAACCTGAACACTATAAACGCATGAAGCAAAATATTGTGCTTTTAATTGGGATGGATTGTACTTAATATTTGGGATAGAAAAAATATATAACAACGCCCCGGGAATATTTTCGTCTTGTGAAATGGTGAACAGGCGAATTGTAAAACATTCAAACGTAAAAAGATAAATGATGGAGTGAGTATGTTGTTTAATCTTTTTTAAAAGTTCAAACTGAGATCTTTAATTATAGCAAGGCTGTGATAATTTTTAAAAAGTTCAAAACGATTTTTCCACTTTTTACGCAAGAGCTTGAGCAATAGTCACCAAGATGGCGTCGACACCTAAATAGCCCGATTTCGACGTGTTTTCTTCCAATATTAAAATGTTATCTCCATATGTTAAGAATTAATCACATTGTGAAATGTAAAATCTCCCCAATAACATTTATAGTTCGGCCCGGAAAATTCAAATTTGACCAATACCCGACCCTAAAACGACCCCTTTTAAAAACGAATTGTCAAAATTTTACACCAGGAAGAGGGGCGAGTTTCGTTTGACAATGGCCCAGATATCAAAGTTCACCACACTTTTAAAGAAAGTCCCAAATAAACTGGAATATTTCAAGAGGCTCCAGCACGCCAATAGCTCTTTGACATTGGACGTAGAAGTGAACAAAGGACAAGGTAAACCATCTTGAAATGAGTGTTTCTCCACCAACACAATAAATTAATACAATAACAACGAAAGTAAACATTGTCATTTTTCAACTAACGATCCGGACAAAATAGTTGGTTAAAAAAATACTATTTCCGATAAGTTGCCTTTCTTTCTGTTTTGCAACTTTCTCAATTGGTTTAAGACAATTGTCAAGACGTTGCTCTGCCCCAATTTACGTAAATTACAAGTTGGACAATTAAGTAAAAATTAAACATATACAGGGTGTTGTGTTCGGCTATTCGTGTTACAAACTTTGCCTACTACATTTAAAATGGAACCAAAACGTCCTAGTTAACTATAGTCCGAGTCTCAACAGTTTCGGAGTTATTTTACTTTTTCTGATTTATTAAAATTTCACGACCTTGCTTCAAATAAACAATGATAACTCCAGAACTAAAAGTTTTTGGACAAATCCGTTGAAACCATTGAAAACTACGTTAAATTTCCAATAAGATGGATCAATACTAAACGTGTAAACGTTCGTGAAATAAACGTTTTAGTAGCTAGAACTTAGAATTTTTTTTTCATGGTTGAAAAACTTACTATGGGATTTTAAACTACTTCCAAACCTAGCGACCAGTAAATTTCAGAAAACGTACTCCATTTAATATCCTTTTTAATGGTGCAATTGCTTTTTGTACAAAGATGAAGAAATTGATCAAGGAAAAGAAAAAACCGTGTTGAAGGATTGGTAAGGTGGAAAGATTAATAATAATAAAAAATAAAAAAACTTAAGGAAATTTTGAATGAATTAAACTTATTTTTAAATTTTGATTCTAAATGCTCTCCACCTCTGCAATGATTTTCGACTCGCTGCTGTTGCATTAAACACTCAAAACCTGTACATAAGATGCATATCAGCGTTTCCTTCATTAAAAATAGTAGCCATAGTGTTAACAAGATGTCACGTAGATAACTAAAAACGTTTTGAAATTTAACTCTTTTAATTCCGGAGAATAATAATACAATAATCCTTAAAGTTGCAGTCGTGTTGGTAAATCAGTAAACACTTGCACTATTTTGATTTCGAACCCAAATTGAAAAAAAAAATTCAAAATTTCCTTTTTTTTTAATTTTCCATACCAATCCCTCAACCACGGTTTTTTCTTTGATCAATTTTTTCATCTTTGAAAAAAGTAATTAGAAAAGCAAAAAATTTTAATCTGCACCACTAAAAAGCAGATTAAATGGAGTACGTTTTCTGAAATTTGCTGGTCTCTATGTTTGGAAATAGTAGTTTAGAATCACCGTTTTTCAACTTTGAAAAAAAATTAAATTTATTAAATAATCGCTTTAATAAATAAATTTAATAAAAATTGAAAAGTCGCTGCTAAACTGTTTATTTCACGAACGTTTACAAGTTTAGTATTGATCACATCTTATTGGAAATTTAATGTAGTTTTCAATTGTTTCAACAGATTTGTCCATAAACTATTAGTTTTGGAGTTATCATTGTTTGTTTTAAGCAAGGTCATGAAATCTTAATAAATGAGAAAAAGTAAAATAACTCCGAAACTGTTGAGATTCAGACGATAGTTAATTAGGACTTTCTGGTTCCATTTTGAGTGAAGAATCTACTGGCTAAGTTTGTAAATGAGTAGTATAGAATTGTTTATACAAATATATACACTATTTTTTTTTTTTTTTGCCTGAGTTGCAGTATTCTTGTTGTACTTAATCCGGACACACTAGAAAAATACTGCAAAGAAAATTCGCTAGAAGTTAACAGCCAAAAAAAGCTAAAATTTTAATATTTCAGAAAGGACACCTTAAGAATTTATGTCAGATATACATTTCAACCTCTGACTATTTGTGTCTACACTTCTAACCAATAGATATAAACACTGGTTAGTTGCAAGTTCAACCTTCTTTGACACTTGTTGCAAAAGTTGGCCATCCGTCTACTTTTCTGCTATTGCAGTAAGTGTTTCGTAAACACGAGTAACAAAAAATAGTTTAAATCTTAAAAAAAATTTAAAATGCTAAAAATTGCAAAGTTACAGCAAGTTGTTCTGTTTCACTACTATCTTTTCTGGATTAGGTTTCTTGCTTTGATGTAAGGGGACCAATTTTACAAGCAAGCTTTTCAAAATCAGCAGGTTTCATTCTTGAAAAATTTGAAAATTGAACTGGATCCTCAAGACTGAGCTCTGACATTGATTGTAGGCACCGAATTTTTAACGTCTCAAAACCCACTCTCAAACCCTTATAAAACGTTTTTTCTTCCTTTTAATCTTTAAAATAATTACTCTGACCGCAATTTGCATTTTGATGTCAAGATAAAATTAGCCAGGAAATGAATGTGAAAAAAAAGTGGTTTAAATCTAAAAGTTAAATTTAAAAAATTACAATTACAATTTTTATTTAATAGTAGTATCTAATTACCAGGGGCTAAAAATTGCAAAGTTACAACAAGTCGTTCAGTTACACTAATAGCTTTTCTGAATTTGGTATTTTGCTTTGATATAAGGGGCCCAATTTTACAAGCAAGCTTTTCAAAATCATCATGTGCAATGGAAAAAATCATGTGCAGAATGAAAGAGATATGCAAGTACACAGGACACAAGTGTACACAAAAATCTATCTTGTATGTATACAGATCGTGTATTTATTCCAAGTTTCACATTTTGATTGTATACATATAACATAAATTTCTAGTAATTTTTATCAGTATCAGTGAAAGCGATTTTCTGTCTGACACTCGACATATATTTCTGGACAAAAGTGTCAGATGTAAATGTACCTTTAGTGACGTCTACTATTTCGGTATAAAGTTTTCAAGATCTGGTCTCTTAAAACAGCAGCTGAGGCAGTCAATAAAAAAGCCATATTTGCAGTGTCAAATATAATAAAATTCTTAATTTAATATCAAAAATGCAAAATTCTCCCTGGTTCACTAAAATTCACCTCTATGCAGGAGGAGTATTTAATATACATCCATCGCCCTCCACACTTATTTATAATTAATTTAATTGAGGGTAGATGGGGTACTTAATATATCGGCTCTCTCACACTACACATTCACACCTATAAATACACATTCTCAACAAATACTAGGAACTATCATTACTATTTACAATAAAACAACCCAGTTGCTATGCTCAAGCACAATTATCGGCATTTTAATAATATATTACATCAGGCGACTACTCTCAAAATGGAATACAAAACAATATAGACTTAATTGTTTGCAAGATTGTTTTATTTGAGGAAAAATTAATTTGATTTTTCATTATAGCCAATTCATGGAAAAGTTTTTGGTTTTTTTATGCATTTTATCCAAATCCACTTTACTTTACAATTGTTGAATTTTGTATTGCATTTCAGGAGTCCGATTGTGGGATAAGAATGGAAAAGAATATTTAGATTTTATTGGAGCACATGGCTCTATTAATGCAGGGCATTGTCACCCTAAATTAATCAACTGTATGCAAGAGCAAATGTGTTTGTTGCATCAAACAACTCAGTCAATAAACACAAACGTATTGCCCGAATTTGCCCAGTATATATGCCAAATGTTCAACTATGACAGAGTAATAACTGTAAACAGTGGTATGTATTTGTTAACAGTGTCGTAAGTTTTTGTTTGTTTTATGTCAATCAACGATTTACTTTCTAGGTCTTGAGGCTTGTGAGGCCGCTGCAAAAATGGCTCGTATATGGGGCTATAAAGTAAAAAAAATATGCCCCAAAGATGCTATACTTGTTTTTTGTAACTGCAACTATTGGGGTTGTTCACTTGCAGCTGTGTCAGCAAGCTGTGATCCTTTGCTTTTTTCAGGATTTCAGCCTTTGTTAACTGGGATGAAACTAATTCCTTATGATGATCCTTGCTCGCTTGAGGTATGTATACAGTGGTGAATACATCATGTAAAAAATTGCATTCTTTCTGCAAAGATCAAATGACAGTCTTAATATCTCTACTTGCTTACTGATGCATTAATGCAGTTAATGAGCATGAGCATAATAATTCAAATGAAGAGAAATGTGAACAACTTGTGTAGTGTAAAAATTTTAAAAGTTAAACAAGCATTTTCAAACCATACTTGCAACCAACAGGAAATTTTAAGAAATCCCAATGTGTGTGGTTTTATGGTTGAGCCTTTGCAATGTGATTGTGGTGTTATGGTACCACAAGATGGTTATCTCGCAGAAGTCAGACGACTCTGCACTCAACACAAGGTACTGTGGATATGCAATGAAGTCGTGACGGGTTTAGGAAGAACAGGCCTGATGCTAGGAGTCGATCACGAGTGTGTTAAACCGGACATATTGGTGTTAGGCCGGTCTCTAGCAGGTGGAATGTACCCGGTAAGCATCAATGATATTTGTCAATTGTTATAGTGATATATCCGCTTATATCAGGTGTCCGCTGCCTTGGCAAGTTGTGAGGTAATGGATCTTCTCAGACCAGGATCTCACATGTCAACTTTCGCTGGTAATCCGCTCGGAGCAAGAACTGCATTGGCAATGTTGAAATTGATAAAAGAAGAATGTCTTTGTGAAAATGCTGCCAACATGGGAGCGTTATTAAGGGATGGTTTACTGTGTACATTCAGTAAAGATGACATGCCTATTCTTCGAGGAAAAGGATTATTGTATGCATGTAAAATTGATCCTAGTAAGTTGTCTCTTATTTCAATCATCAGTATCAAATAGTCTAACAATTCTGTTAAAATATAATACTTATAACTTTATTGTATAAAAGTCACACCTAATCTGTACGTAAGATAATGTATGAACCATAGTGGCCAGTGTCGTAGTGTTCAAATCTTATTGGCCATGCAAGCAGTTTGTGTTCAATCCTAGCATAGCCCTTAGACTATTATTTCACAATTATTGAAAGAAAAAAAGTATCATTTCCTCCTGTGGTCTGTGGAGCGATGAACATGTAATTTGATCGTTCCAATCATTTTGGTCTGTCTATCCTCACTGGTTTATCAGGTGGGTTTCAGCATTAACTGTTAAATAACAAAATAAAATAAAGTATTGTAAATTGATTCTGACCCTCTGTCCACAACAGCCAACAAGTTGGACCCCTGTATGACAAGAAGAATTATTTAGTGGTTTTTTTTTGCATATTTTCTTATTTTTCCCCTATATTTAAGCTAATTTTCCTGCTTCTGCCCAATTTACACCATAAAAACAAAATGCAGTTATCCTCTTGCAGTTAGGAGACATTCTCCTCATTGGGAAGGTAGTTTTTAACACAGAATATACATAAACGACGACTTAACTGGATCAAAATGGATGACCAGTTGCAGGTTCACTAAGGCAAGACACCACAACACGTTTTTCAAAAGTTCAAAAGATTATTAGGTGCTCTTCTAAATTTCAGAATCTCATGAGGCCAGTTTCATTCTATGCATAAAAAGTTATCGGTTATTTAAAAAATACATTTTTCAATCTGAAAATAGTCACAACCCTCTTAAGGATTGATAAAACCAAAGTGGCATATGGTTAGGGAGTCTTAACTAGTATTTCCCACACTAGTGGTGCTTCAAAATAGCCCTTGGATTTTTATTTGAGATTATTTTGATAAAACAAGTATTGTGAAGTTGTCCATGACATTCAACTGGTACTTTTTTTTTTATTGTATTTTCTTCTTTTTTCGCCTATATTTTAACCTGCATAAAAATCCATTACTCGTATTTAAAGTTTCCTTTATGATGTAATAGTTGCTTAGCCCCTAGTATTAATTAATCATGCAATTTATCTGCATAATTATTGGCAGTAAAACTTTATACTATTACTAGAATTAATTTACTTTTCTAATACATACATGAATAAGTTTTTTTTTTTTTACCAAAATTTTTATACAGCCATTTTTTTTTTACATTATTGCATTATTATTAAGAACTAGACATTAGGATATTTTTATACACTTTTATACAATCACACAGTAACATTACTATTTGTAAGGAAACCGTACAACTCACGATATACAGCCAATTCGGTTGACAATAACAAAGTATTGTATACATAAGGCGGTTGTAGATTTATTTCTTTGGCATTAAAAAGTCTATCGAACATATATGAATAAGCTTTATACATATTAAAAATCAGGGATATCGGCATATGTAAGGCTAACATAAACAAATTCTTCATTAATTTATTGATGAATTTGAAGAAAAATTCATACAGCTTTTCGTATTGTCTGAAAATAATGCTTGATAATATTAAAACTTATAAATACATTATTTTTAGGAATTGGAAGCCCGATGGAAATAACAGAAAACTTGAGGGATTGTGGCCTGCTTGTATGGCCAAACCGAGACGAATTTCTCCGTTTCACCCCACCGCTGGTGGTCAGCGAGGAAGAGATAACGCAAGCAATCAGCATATTTAAAAAAGTCGTCGATCACATGAAGGGACCTCACTGTGTTTGTTAAGATTGTCTTCTGCTTCTTAAAAAATAACGTCCCTCTCTATTCCTATTGTGGTAGTTTTATTACTACGAAACTGCAGCTTTCAAAGTCTGATAATTAAACAAAAAATGAAATCAATATTATTTTTATTTAGTTGGTGTTATATAAAATTAATTAAGTTCTTTCCTGTGTGGGAACTCTTGCTAAGGGGAAAATTCTGTTTGAATAGTTTTTTTTTCTTTTCTTCCCCCCTTGTTTAATAATAATTTTACCACTGTAGATGACATTTACACAAAGTACTTTTACCCTTCAACATCAGATCTCCTACAATGCCTTGTAAATACTCATTTCTACATCATTATTATCCAGTGCTCACCATTAAGCTTTTTACCATATCACAAAGTTGATGTGAAGAAATGATAAATGGTAGAGTATGTTGTTCAATCTTTACAAAAAGATAGTCTCTCAACAGTGAAGGCAAGCTGAGAATCTAATAAGCCCACCACTCGGCTACTCTAAAATTAAAATAAATAAAAATGCAACTTAATATTAAAAATACCGATTTTTAAAAATTATTTTTTATTCGTCCTAAAAAGAAATCGTTAACATAGTGTGCCTTCTGTTTTAGGAATTCGTTAAATAAGATTCAAATGTATACAAAGCAAAACAAATAAAAGTGTTTTATTATGTACAACTTTTAAATACGAGAATTTTTTTTATGACACATTGTTTTCAAATTCTCAGTTCATGCCTTCATAGAGCATAAAATAGTTTTCATTCAAATTTCACTGTGTATTGATGGTTGAACGAGTATTTGCAATTGGCTAAATTTTCTTTGCAGGGCCTTTTCTCTATCAAGCTGTCGGCTTACTTCTTCAGTAATTGCCTATAAGCAAAAGAAAACATTTTAATTATTTTATGATTTGCCGGAGTAAAATTAAGCGAACCTCAATTCTTCTAGGAATAGCATTTTCTTCTTGTTGTTGTAAAACCTGGAATGTGGACCTTTCCATGTGCGCTTGGTCAATTTGTTCAGTAACATCTTGGAGTTGCTTTATTAAAGCCTGTGCCCTAGTCTGAACAAAAAAACAGTTTCAAACACCCAAAAATATCAAATTGACCAAATTGAATATTTACTTGATAGCCTCCTGTAATTATTTTAATTTTCTTTTCCATTTTTGCAGCCCTCTTGGCCTCTCTTGTCATGTGCGTTCGATTCTGCTCCAATCTTTTTTCAACCGATTCTAATCTGTCCTTCTTGCTAGCTAGATTGGCTCTTGTGTACCTATTTTGACTCGGCAAAAATAGCACCTGGAGGGAAGAAATTTTAAATCATTTTTAAAAAAATCTTTCTGATTAATTAAAAATTTAATGCTTCTCACTTGTCCTAAGCATTCTTCCCAAACTTGAGTAAATGTATCTAAAGACAGTTCACCATGGTTCATACCTTGCTTCACCACTTCCATTTCCGCTTGGAGGATTTCTTTAGCCTTATGACAAATGGACATTGTTATAAAAGCAAAACAAAAAAGTTAAAAAAAAAATACCTTTTTTATTTCTTCTTCTGTGAATGATTCATAAGGATGCTGTTCTAAATGGGCTAAATGTTGTGCCTGAAGATTACTACTCGTTTTACGTGCTGCCATAGGTGGATCTCCATTTTGTACCGCATCATAATGTAACATAACTATCATTTCTTGTTTGATAAGTTCTTCAGCCTATTTTTTTAATAACTGTGTTTAATACAATTTATTTAATAGAAAAAGAACAAAATTGAATTACTTTTTGCAAATCGGTCAAAGGTGGATCTGTATTTGCCGGCCTCAACACGATATTAATATCGGCAGGTCTGGGCAACGATCTTTGTATGACTTGAGATCTACTTCTCAACTCCTTTTCTCCTAGATAACACAAATAATAAGTATATTTTTTAAATAAAATAAATTAAATTCTGACTTTGCTCGGCGAGTGAAGCCAAATGTCTCTCATCTATTTCAGATTGATCTTCAACCTCCATTGCTGAAGCCGACTTGTTCTCCTCACTAGTAACTTCATCTTCAGGAACTACAATCTCATAATCATTTTTCGGCTGTGGCAGTGATCTAAGGCTTGCCCTAAGTTGCTCCTTTACCTATAGGTGGATTATTTATTTTAGCAAATTGACACAATGAAAGATTTAAGTGAATTACTTGAGTCTGTTGTACAGTCAATGGAGTGTCTCCACCCATACTGGCTTCCTCAGGGTTAATGTTAAGTTTATCTCTAACTGGAGTTGGAGTTGCTAATCCACCATGAACATCCTTCGGTGTTTGAAATCCTGGTGTCCTACCTAAAGGCATGTTTTGGTATTATAAATATAGCAAAAAAATAAAATAAAATAAAACCAATATTACCATCTGGTTGTGATCTGTTTGAAAAAGGTGTGGCAAGCAAAGTGTTTGGTGTTGTTATGTGTTCAGACTGTGGGTGAGCTCCAAAATCCGGGTTGTACAAAGGCGTATTGACACCTCCTTTCAACGGTGTATCCACATGACTCAACGCCATCATGTTTTGCGCTTCCTAAAAATTTACATAATTAATAAACAGAATTATAAATAAATCAAAATACACATTACTTGAAGTATTCTATCAGTTGTAGGAGCAGGTGTACGGGGGGTATTTGCAGCGTTGGGTGTAGCTAAAGCATAATCGTTCAGAAGTGTGTCAGCAGCGCTTTCATTCCCTTCGCTCACTGCCTCCCTAGCTGCATAACTTGCCCTACCAAGTTTCACTACTTGTTGCAATTCCTTAAAATTAAAAAATTAATTATTATTATGAATTTTTTATTTCTATAATGATATTACTTGATCTGATATCTGAGGTGCGGGTAAAACTAGTTTGCTACGTTTCTTTGCTGGCTCCTGATTTTGAAGCATTGTCAATGGCATGTCATTTTCTTTTCTTTGCTTTACTTTTTGTTTATCCTTGCGACGTTCTTTCTAAAAAATGTCATTAACACGTTTACAATTGCAAACAAATCATATAAATTTATTAGAATCTACCTCTTCTTTTTCACTTCTTAATTCCCCATCCAAATTTTGCTGTCGAAGCCTATGGAAATTCGGCAAATGTGGATCGATAATTTCATTGCTCGTATCAAAAAATCCAGGTACGGGTTTCTTTTCAAAAGGAATTTCAGCATTGTAGTTTATCCCTCTTTTCCTTTTTTGTCTTGACGCAAATTCAATACCAGCTGCTCTCAATTCTCTCCTTTTCTATTTGAAAATTAAATAATTAATTTGTTCTTTGAATGATTTTGTATTTTTAAAAACCTGTAAAGCAGCAAGCCTCCTAGCCTCTTCCAACTGTTTCTCCCTGGCCTTTCTTTTTGCCTTTTTGCCCTGAGTGTTGGCTAAACGAGCTCTGGCTTCAGAAAGCATTTCCAGTTCTAAAAATATGATTATATTTAATACAATGCTGCTTGTGCCAATATTATGTATATGCCAATATTGTGTAGCATGAATATTAGTTATTTTTGTCACAAATGAATTTGCAGTCTATCTAAATCATTCACACTACTGAACAACAAACTTCGTTCATTGACAGCTGACACTCTTTGAAGGATGAAAGTGTATCGATAACATCATTGAAAGGCAGGTAAACAAATTCAATCAAAATTTTATTACAGATGGAAACGACCTAGTTTTTAATACTCTGTAAGTCATAATTAAATTATTGACAGTCATTTTCTAAATGATGTAAATTTTAAAAAATCAGATTTTGCAATCAGACCAAAATTATTTGAAGATTTTTTACTCTATTCAATATCTACATTTTTAGTAAAAATTTTTTAAAACCTTTTAAAAACATTATGTTTCCAGCATTAAAGTCAAATTTATTATAATTAAAAAAATTATTATAAACAGAACAAGATTCTGTTAAAATGATAAACGCACCATCTTCGTCCATATCTTTGGGATCGGGTCGAGCGGGCTTTGTTTCTGGATTGGGATCAATCTCTCCAGGTTTAAGCTTTCTAGGATCATCGGCGCCATCTTCACCCTCTTCCTTTTTCTGCGCTTGATCACTGAAATATTATTGAAAAACATACTTTGTAAAATAAATAAAATAATCAATTAAAACTCGATTAACAAAATAGAGAACAATTCCTGGTAAAAAGGTCCCAATGCAATATACAATAACTTTCATATAAGATTCCAGGATTCAAACTTAGAACCACTAGCATGGCTAATATAAGAATCATACACCCGATGATGATGATGATTATGGATGAGAAGGATACTAGGAAGCAGGGGTATTCATTTTTTTTAGTTCCTTAGTTCTGATCAATTGACTTGATCTTTCTTTTAAAAAGTAGTAGGTTATTGCTGCAATTCTTTTTCTCGGGTCTACTAGGTGGCCTAGGTTATCTAGCAGTTGGTTTGTGTTATAAAATTCCAAGGACAATATCCAAATTCAAATCCAGAACCGCTAGAGTGGTTAATATGAGAATCAGACACCACAAGTCACTATAGTCCCCAAAAAATAATAGTATGTAAAAATATGGATATAACACACAAATCGTCCTGGATTTTTGCAACACTTGACAATCAAGATAAGCATTTTTTTAATATTAACCACTTAAAAAAAAAAATTGACAATTATTTCTATTATAAGCTTTATATAAAGTTCTTGTTTGGTAGGTTTTTCAAGCTGAAACAGCCCTATAATTATTTAAAATATTTATAATCTTACAATTGTGGTTTTTTTTTTTTTTTTTTTTTATTACGAGGGTTCTAGCCAAGCAGCCATTATTTACAGCAGAGGTCATATAAACCCTTGGAGTGCCGGTGTTTTTTTCAAAAAAGCCCATTTGTAAGCAATTCGGGTTCGAATGCAGGGCTGCTGGATTTGAACCCGGGACCTTTACCTTACAGTGATGAGCGCCGTGTCATCGCCTAAACACACAACACAAAGTTTCACATGTTCTAAAATTTTGAGAGCTGCGAAGTGATAAACCTTTAGTTTGATCGTTTCTGATCATTGGGATCTGTCTATCTTGTAGCCAAGCATTAAAGATGGTAAAATGCTGAAATGTGCCAGACAGATCAAAATAAGTTCAGCACATGTACACTGGCTTACAGACGAAAAACCACCACTATCTACTGTGGGGGATCGCTTTTGACTTGTACTTACTGGTGGTTCTGGGTTTGAATCCCTGCCCATGGAAAAATTTATTTTAAAATGGTCTGGCAGATGTGCATCTGGACCCATCGGGTCTTGCAACTTCTTTATGACAAGAATTACTTTACTATCTACAGTGTTAAATATGTTAAAAAGGAAGGACAAAATCAACGGTTTAAGCCTATACTCACAGCAAGTACTCGTATCGCTCAAGGCACTGGGCAGCTGTCCTTCCGATTATCGGAGCAATCGTACGCCACTGCGTCGGCATCAATTTGGCCAGGTGGAGAAGTTTTTCATCCTCTTCTCTGCTCCACTCCGTCTTTTTAATACTTGGATCGAGCCATTCGAACCAACGTGCTTTACACTGCTTCGCCGACTTCCTGTGGAGCAAGGACGCTATCCTCGACCACTGGTTCTTGCCGTACTTCATGACGGCGGCCTTGAGGATTTCATCCTGGAACATCCGTGATATTTCAGTAGAAAAAGTTCTAGTAACGTATACCTCTGGGTATTTTTTTGTAAATATATGTCCAAACTCACCTCGGTGTTCCTCCACACTCCTCCTTTAATCATTATCCGCGGCATCCTGGCTGTTTATTTCAGTACGGTCGGCTTAAGGAAGAAATCCGGAAATGTTCCGGTCGTCGATATTAAACGAGACAAATTTCAATTTCACTTAGTCCACCCTTCACTCAGAATTCAGATATATTTTCATGAAGAACAAACACGGAACCAAAAGAGCATTGCAACCTTCTTCAAACAATTTCGATTTTCGACTCGATAAAAACCGGCGAAGAAGCGCTTCACGGTTCACGGGCGCTCACTCATCGAACAGCGCTAGTGTGCATTAAACTCACAGAAATTTGAGGAAGTATAAAAATCCAAGCTGTCAAACGACTCAAATACAAATTTCAAAGAAATATTTTTGGATGGATTCGTATAAATAACAAACAAGCAGGTAATACTTGTTTTTTTTTTTAAGCAAAAGCTAATATGTATATATTATAATATACATATTTTATGCATAGACAATTCATATCTAAACTGCAGTATCTGAAAGTTGAAGATCCAATCTGTTATTCAAACTTCTGAAAATACAAATTCCAAAATAATATTTTTGAATGAATTCGTATAAATAACATACAAACAGGTAATATTTGTGGTTTTTTAAACAAAAACTATGTGTATACGATATTATCATATACTTATTTTATGCATAGACAATTCATATCTAAAGTGCAGTATATGAAAGTTAACAATCCAATCTGTCATTCCAACGACTCAAAATACAAATTCCAAAGAAATATTTTCATGAATTCGTATAAATAACATACTTTAATTGTCTTGAAAAGGTGATTTTTTTTCTTAAACAAAAACTATATGTATAACATATTATAATATACATATTTATACATCGACAATTCATATCTTAACTGCGGTATCTGAAAGTTAAAGATCCAATCTGTCGCTCTGACATACAAATTCCAAAGAAATATTTCCATGAATTCATATAAATAACATAATTTTTTTTAAACAAAAACGACATGCATAAGATATTATAATATACATACTTTATACATAGACAATTCATACCTTAATTGCAGTGACTGAAAGTTAAATTTCCTATCTGTTGCTTATACAGCTACAAATACAAATTTAACTTTAATCAACAACAATCAGGTATTCGATAAATTGAAATTATCGAGTTCTAGAGGAAAACTTCAATATCTCCAGAATGAATCGTTGAATTCTTGAGGATCAATGTTTTTCACATTTTAAAAGTCCTTTCCATGCTAAAAAAAATTATCCCAGAAACTCAAAATTTCATCATTTTGTACTGGGGATATTGAAATTTTGTTTTCACATCTCGATAATTTGGAAATTATGTTTTGATTTGTATTTATAAACCAAAACTATACAGTATAAATGATGATGAAGAGGATCATATAAGGTTCTCAGATGATACTTTTCATCATCAACTTTATTCTGTGGATCGATTTGATCACTTTTCTTAATTCTGTACCTTTGGGGTAGTAAAATTGGATATCAAAATACTCAACTTTTCCGAATTGTGATTATAAAGTTTAGACCTTTGGTACAGACTCAATTTATTTGCTTTTTATTTTTATTATTGAATTAATTTTTATTGTGCTCACTTTCATCAAATTCAATATAGTTGCCCTAGTAAATGGTTTTTTAATTATATATTTTCTTATCCCTTTATGTATCAACAATTATCTAGTTTTTAACACAAATGTAGGCTACTTGCCAATTATCATACCATCACTAATATTCACTATGATTTGATTTACTAGCGGTTAAAATGGGATATCAAGTTGAATTAATAACCACTATATTTAACATGTGAAGTAAATTCACTATTTCTGTTGTGTTGTTCTACCAACAAAATAAATGTTAATACAAGTAGGAAAAATAAATCTCCTTGTCGCACCTAGACAAGTATTCATTAGGACAGAAAATACACTTATTATATTTCAGTATGTGAGTTACTCTGGTTTACAAATGTGTAGAATTACTGAAATGTTTTTGAACTTTTCAAGACATCTAAAAGGGCACATTACATTTAAAAAGAAATTGTTTCATTCTCTGTTTAAAAAATATACAGTCTGTCAAGCCTAAAGGCTTACTGAAATATGCACTTATCTCATTTTGCCAAAATTTATGGAGTTACCGTGACTTCGAACACCCATGCCACAAACTTCTCATTTCAACTCCCTGTTTATTCCACCAATTGTAAGCAAATTAGGTAGAACAGAGGCATGTTTAGCAGAAAGTCATGGATTCAAATTCTGTGCGACACAATTTTTTCACTTTGAAAAAAATTGTGTATAATTAATTGAGTAAATATAATTAAGAATAACTTGATAAATAATAATAAAAGTTGGTATTAAACTAGAATCACACCTGTAGATTGTACACAGTCCCGCTAATGTAGTACAGAGTACATAAAATGTGTTTCTATATGAAGCCGCGATTTGCTTACAATTGGAATAAACGGGGAGTCGAAATGAGAAGTTTGTGGAATGGGCGATTGAAATCAAGGTAGCTCAAATAGTAGAACAGCGGCATATTTAGCCAAAAGTCATGGGTTCGAATCCCGCCTGACACAAATGTTTCATTTTGAAAAAATTGTGCGTAATTAATTGAGTTTAATCAGTTTGTTTTTTGTACATATACTTCCAAGCATGCCAGTCATACTTTATAGGCCTAACTTTTTCCCTTAATGAAAGCTCAAGTTATTGTACTCTTGTTAGTCGAATACATGCATTAAATACAGTCTTTTGTTCTAAGAGGTATGACATTCTGCATAATAAAAGGAGACCAAGATATATTTATTGCTGTTTTGGTGTTGAGGACTTTTTTTATGTATGTAAGGACTAGAAGAGACTAGGTGGAATGTAACTCTTAAATATTTGTATTTATTTATTTTTTTAATATTTTTTTGGCTGGGGCTTCCGACATTTAGGTCATTTCAGCCCCCAACTAAGTCTATATTCTATACCCGTTCAAACACTACATTCATACAAATAAATACATTCATACACTTAAATACATCCATACAGTACACTCATTCCGTTTGGTCAGTGGAGTACTTGATATTCCTCCACTAAAATATACTTAAACTAAACTAGATTGGGGTCGATGGGGTACTTTTATAAATATTTCGCCATCGACCCCGAACACACACTCTTACGTTCTCATCGTTCGAGGGGTGATGATGTTATTTTTCACCCTCACCCCTCGCCATTCACGCTAATAAATACATGCACTCAGACAAAACATATAGACACACAACACATAAGACATACTATATACAATAAAAAAACCCAATTTCCCCTAAAAAGCAGAACGGGGGACTCTGAAACTCGCTACCGTGTTCGAGAACTCTTCTTAAGTCCGGCAGCATGCCTACACGCACTCTGTATGGAGCCAAGGCATGACACGCCTCTATTATGTGGGACACATCGAGCAACCTTTCTTTGCATAAGGGGCACTTGCGCGGGCTTTGGCCCAAAAGCAGGTGCCGATGTGTCAACCGCGTATGGCCAATCCTCAGTCGGGTGAGGACAATCCCTTTGTCTCCTGCTCAGATTCTCTGAGGGCCATCTACCGGTCGTGCTCTTCACTCGCAAGAGCCTCTCCGACGACCCCGCCCACTGACGCTGCCATCTTTCTTTTATCATATTTTTAACTGCATGTTTAACGTCAGGGGGCCTGATCGCGATAGTCCGATCCGGAGGGTGGGACGTACCGGCTTTCGCCGCCTCGTCCATGTGTTCGTTACCCTCCAGGCCGACATGTCCGGGAATCCAGTCCGGAACAGCCACCGTTTTTCCGAGAGGCTCCAGCTCCGCGTATTTCTCTAACAAGAACACGACGAGAGGGTCCACAGAGAACCTGTCGCGTATAGCCCAGACAGCGCTCAGAGAGTCGGTACATACGAGGAAGGCTGAGCCCTCCCCGGTCCGCACCGCCTCGAGAGCGTGCCAAATCGCATACAGCTCTGCCGTGTATACGCTGCAATGAGGGGGCAACAACCAGGAGGTGGCCACTCCCTCGCTATACACAGCACTCGCCACACCATCGCCGGTCTTGGACCCGTCTGTAAAAATCAGACGAAAACCGGCGTATCTATTTCTAAGTTCAAGGAACTTAGCCTTGTAGAGGTATGGCAGCGTACATGATTTGGGCAAGTTCACCGGATCGTTGCGGACGAGTACGGCCAGAATGGTCGAGGAGGTGTCGGCCAGTGGCCCAACCGAAGCACCGAATCCCGAGGTGTCGCGTCCGGGAGCGAAGCCTGTCGTAAACTACTCTGTATGGGCAGTGGAGGACTCGCTTCGGTGATACATATATATTAAGAATTTGTATTTATTACTGTATAAATTAATGCCATTTGAAATATTGTTTTTCACACCCTACATAAATAAGTTATGTTTTTTATTGCAAATAAATATTGACTTTTAAGATAAAAACGTTGGATTCATTATGTACTAGTAGGCTTAATTATGGGCCGATAAATGTTTATGGTCATTGTTGGATCTCTGCAAATCAGAATTCAATGCATTTATTTTCTTTCTTGCATCTATTAATGTCATTCTGGCATTTGAGTGTTTTGTTTTCCTTCTTCAAATCATTGACATTTCCTAATTTGTTAGTCTCATTTGTTATCCTTTGTTTATCAAATAATGGATAAAATATATTTCCTATAAAAATTTTAATTTGTGTCTCGTCAAAATAATTTTTTTTTCAAACAGCAGGAGTATATTAATGAGCTCATGGTAGACTTTTTGTTCATTGCTTTGTCAAAAACCCAAGAATTCAATAATATTCCCTTTAAATAGTTCATGATTAAAAAGTTAATGATTATTTTTCATATATTTGTACTGAAATTATTATTTTATTAGGTATGTACACATTTCTTTAGTTTACATGTCATTTTGTTTTAAAATATCTTTTTGTTATATTTCTGCTTCTTAAGTGCTTTCTAAGTAGATACTGTATACACAGATTTTTCCAAAGCCTTCGATAAGGTGGATCATGGCATTTTGATCAGAAAGTTACTCTACACAGATTTGGAAATCAACGCAATATTATGGTTAACATCCTTCTTGACAAAGTGATCACAAATTATAAAATGTGGCAATTATGTATCGAACCCAATAAAAGTGACATCTGGTGTTCCTCAGGGAGGACACTTGTCCCCTCTTTTATTTACAATTTGTATAAATGATCTCCCTCTGTACATTAAACATAGCAAAATTAAGTTGTTTGCTGATGATGTCAAGTTATATAAATCCGTGACCTCGGTCTTGGACTGTAACTTGCTCCAGAGTGACCTAGACTGTTAGGCTTTATGGTGCCACTACAAAAAACTACCTGAATGTACAGAAATGTAAAGTTATGACATACAGTAGAAATACAAATAATATTACCTATAATTATCAGATTGAAGGTGTTACGCTAGAAAGAATGGAAGAAATAAGAGATTTAAGTATTACATTTGATAGAAAGCTGTCTTTTGATGTACACATTGGTAAATTGAGAGCTGATAGTATTAAACTCTTGGGTTTTATCATGAGATTATCAGCTGACTTCAACCATAAAAATGTATTCAAGCTTTTATATTGCACTTTTATTCGCACAAAATTAGAATATTGCAGTGTGGTCTAGAATCCGCACTATATTGTGAAGGAGACCAAACTAGAACAAGTGCAGAAGAAATTTCGGAGATTTACTGCTTTTAAACTCGGAATAAGAAGAGACCCTCATGAATATGGTCATGTAATGTCCCAAATAGGTCTAATAGTCTAAGTAACAGACGAGAACTACTTGACATGGGATTTCTTTACAAGCTACTAAATGTGACAATAAATTGTGATGAACTGTTAGCCATGATAAAATTCAATGTGCCTAGTTTCAATTAGAGAAATTGTAATGTATTCTATTATCAAATGCATTCTACAAACTACCTGTTGATGAGTCTTATTAATCGGCTCATAATAAAAGGCAACAAGTTCAATGTGTTGAACCGGCACACGGGCACTACTGGGTCTGTCTACACTCGCGGGTTTTTTGTTTGAGTTAATCAAACGCGTTTCGGCATTACGCCATCTTCAGTGAAAAACTGTCTGTCATTCAGTCTGAGTGGGGTTTATATATTGTTGCGTCCGTCGCTTGTCGCTGGGGGCGTTGCGTTAGGGGGCGTGGTCTNCATCGGGTAGATGTGCACGGGGGTAATGCAACCTTATGGAAAATCGGAGTTTGGATTTGCGTCGGGTAGCGTCGCATGGCGTAGAATCGGGTAAGTGTGTTTCTGGCTTTATTGTTTCATAAAAGGACGCAGTGCACATTTTAAGAGCTGCCTTGGCCGCCATAGTAGCAAGCTAAAATTCATAGAATAGGTATGTACGAATTATGTGTTTTGATGGCATGAGAAAGAAAATGTTTTATCATTTATACTGAACAGTTCAAGACACTTTTTTATTTTGAACTGATCATTTTGGTATAACGTGATGTAAACACCTAATCCTCCTATGGATATAAAAATATTTATTAACGGTATTAAAACAATAGGAAATGATAAACAGCACGAACCTTTCTGGTTGCCTGCTATTATACACTAACACGGGATCTGGGCATAGGAAGAACAGGTCATTTTAACTCACGGAAGGTTCATGAAAATAGAGGTCATCATTGTATAGGAGTGTATGAACGTCAGCCTAGAATAACTACAATGATAGTTATGTGTTTCTGGCTTTAGGTCGAAAATGTAGTCACATTGCTATCCGTCAGGGCGTAGGTAACCGACATGGCAGCCATGAATTTAACAGCTGTTTTTTCATTACACGTATTATTATTCTTAAATAAGCATTAATTAAATGAGACCAATACATTTCTTTTGTTAATTTTTGATCTGTCCTTATACTCTCATTCATAAAAGATACACGTAATAAAGTTGTAGACTGTTACACGTTAGGATACAAGTTAGGTATGTCGCCATAATATGAAGCGTGTTATTTGTTAGTACTTTCGAGTGCATAGATAGCATTTCGAATGAAAGAGTTGATTAATTTTCCTTTTTTTATTAACTTCAGGCATCTTACAATTCAATTCAAAACAAAACTATAACAAACATCAACAAGCCTTCAAGGACTTTATTTTTGGTTCTACCAATCGCCAAGCGCACCATTGCGGAAAAACTAACGTTTAACGTGCTATGAAAAGAAGGGGGTGTTCACGATCTTATTGGACATTTCTCAATTCGAGTTAACACGAATTAACATCTTACAAACATCGTGAATACCCCTATAACCTTAAAAAAGTAGGACTATCCGCAGATGACCAATGTGATGATTATGCTATAACATCTATGGAACTGTCTTTCAACAGCTCGGTAAAGGTTATGGTACCTGGGTGTAGTGGCCACTTGTAGCTACCACAAGTCACCGCTAGATGCCACTACGACTTATGGAATGTTCTCGCCCTCCACTCTGCAGCCAATCAGAGTAGACTACTTCCTATATAAGCAGGGGCACTGCCTCTTTGCAGCAGACTCGTCAACCCGACGAGGTCTCACACATCACTAATACACGACTCCAGGAGACTCGTCAACCCGACGAGGTCTCACACATCACTAATACACGACTCCAGGAGACTCGTCAACCTGACGAGATCTCACCAAAGGAACACCGTCGACGACAGCAAGTATTCGCTGCATCAGCCTGATCTCGCCTTCTAACAGCCGACTTGGCTATAAACGCCAAACGCTGCTCTCGGCTAATCGCTGCATCTCAGAACCTTCGGCCTCTGTGGAGTCAGCCGACTCACGGCCCCCGGACCTCAGCCAACGGTACTCTCACGGTCACAGACCATCAACCAACGGCGCCATGCATCGGTCGCGGCCTCGATTCGTCGGCCCTCCTACTCCACTACACAACACCGGCCCTTTTCAGGGCCACAAAACTCCCAGTCACTAAACTGGGAAAACCGTTCTTGAACCACACAAGTTTTGATACCTCATCCCCGAGAAAAATTCTTCACTTCATAAACAATGAATATCTTCCTGGAAATATTTCGCAGACGTGTAAGTGTTAAAAGAGCAAATCCTTACAACTCCAAATGGAAAACATGAAAATAAACATTGAATTTTTTTAATGTATTACTTAACCGGACTTTCCGAACCAGAAAAATCCACACATCATCCAACTTTCTATAAAGCCCATCAGGCTTATTTTAATTCCTCCCAATTCTAAAATACCAAAATTACCCGACAGTCAGTATAGTTTTCACAACTGACAGTCAGCGGTCTAGCAATGCCAACTGTGTTTTTTTTCGTAATGACATCTTCCTACTACCTAATTTTCATGTACACGGTTTTTTTTTTTTTTTTTTTTTTTTTTTTTTTTTTTTTTTTTTNGTAGACAGACCCAGTAGTGCCCGTGTGCCGGTTCAACATGAGTTCGCCAACTCGCAGACCAAACCCCATCGTCTACTATAAGTTCAATGTGGATTAGTTCCATGGCAGTTTTTATCAAGTCAAAAAAACTATATTGCACAAGTTATCATTGTAGATGTTGTAATGGGCATTGACCCGTGTATAAATAAATAAATAAGGACATAGATTGTAAAAAAAAAAAAAAAAGTTTCAAATTGATTGTGTTAATGAATGAACTTTTAAGCATATTCTAACCAATTTGAAAATGAAAGGTCTTTGCACTAAGTGAACTGCTATCCAAAAATTGAAAATTTAGCAACAAAAAATGTTTATAGAAATTCCTCTGGACATATTTTTTTCAGGGTGACAATATCTCTTATTTGCCCATCAGCAATTAATGTAATTATGAAATAAATAAAGTTTATCATATAAGTATAAACAAATATAGTGAATAATTAATATTTCTATAATAATTTCTAATATTCATTCTCTATAGCTTTCATTTGCCTAAAAGATAGTTAATGTTTTCCCTTAAAGTTATAGTTAGTTTAACTTGTCACCTTTTTCCTTGCTGAACATAGGAATGAAGGGATATTCATTATCACTGTGTAAGAAGTTAATTGCAAAATAAATACTTTATTTAACATAGTTGCAATTTTTATGAAAAACAGTTTGCTAAGATATAACACATTTCACTTGGCTTTACATAAAAATAATCTTTAAAATTCTATTATACAATCATTAGATAAATAAATTCACTTTTAAGAAACAAAAACAAAGGCCTTACTTTTGTTTAGCAGAGCGTGTTTAAATCATAACATGGTAGTAAACTGCAGAGATTCATAGATTAAAAATACATAGGCACATATTTTCAGTGTTTCAAGACCTACTTGGACACATCTCTTCCCACAACCACTCTAAATAAGCAGACTATAAAAATTTATTAGTGTCCCAATGCTAAGGCTAACAAAACACTAAGTGAAAAGATTAGTGACAGACAATTAAATTATGAAAATTTGATGTACACACATTTCAAATCTTACAGTAAAATATAAATAAATTTGTTTGTTGCACAAAAACAGATGTGCAATCATGTAAAACTTCTTTTTCTAAAGATACAAACTTAAATTTTGTTCGTCATACGTAAATCAAGTTCAGATATTTTATATTCAAAACACTGCTTTATTATAAACTGCAAATATCACTTTCCTTAGTTTTTAAAATTTACAACTAAATATTATCGTTAAATTTAGTATTATACATCACTTGAGGATTATTAAATAAATAGAACAAGCCCTCCCATATAAAACTATTACAAGTAAATTTTACCATGATCTTCAACAAAACACTATAATTTTAAATAGCAACAAACTTTAATATAAGATAACAGTTTTTTGCTTTTTTTGTTTTTTTTTTTGTTTTTTTTGTTTTTGTTTGTTAAACACTAATTTCCTAAATATAACGGTTAAGGTAACTCCAACTTCAAATTACCTCGTATACCATAATCAATGATAAATATATCAGAATATAATTAATTTATGACTAACATACAATGGAAGTTCACAAACATTTCATATAAATGCAGAAAAACTTAAAATAGTTTTTTTTATTTTTTTAAGTGAAACAACATCAACATTCAAACATTCAATGTTTTAAGATGTTTAAGTTATCAAATTAAAAGTGGAAATTTTCCAATTTCATCAATGATTGATGTTAAATCTTTGCTTACAGAAGGCAATATGTGTTTACCTATGATTTTCTCTCTTGTTCATAGAGCCACTATATCTATATAAAGGTCATCACAGAAAATTATTCCTAATATTTTTTTTTTCATTACAACATTGAAGGTTTTTTTTTTTTTTTTTTTTTTTTTACATAGTAAAATATTAGTTTCATTTTGCACTAAAATAATATAAGAAAATGAGGCACCTGGCAGATAAGAATAATCCTTAAATGCATCTATTTTTTTTAAATTATATATTTTTTAAGGACGAGTACTTAATCTATCTGTTAATATTCAATATTATTGAATGAAAATATTTTTCAAAAAAATTATTAATCCTATACGCGAAATAAATTAAAATTAAAAAATTACTAATAGATATTTCATTAAAGGTGTACACTTAGAAATCATATCTCTACAAAAGATCATGATTTGAAACACCTATGTAATTTCCATTTCCTGTTCATTGTTTATCCATATTTATAGCTTAAATTGTTCAATTGTCATACCTTAACAATAAGCATTTAACTTAATTATTCAAAAAGAAAAACATTACTTTAGTACAAATATTTTTTTTACATTTCAAAATATTTTATATATATATATATGTATATTAATTTTCACATTGGATTTTTACTGACTTTTGATAGTAAATACACAATAATAATACTAAACAATGAAATGATTTTAATTAAAAACTATAAGGGTTATCAAATATGAAATAAGCATATATAAATATAAACAACAAAACACTTACGTAAAATTTCTTTTCCAACATATTTATCAATACATTAATTGATAATGTGCGTTTCCTTAAATTAATATTCTTTTTCTTGTAAATAATAATAAATTTTTACCCATGTGATAAAAATCATCAAGTTTAAAAAAGATGCTCATTCAAATGAACATAATGGAAAAGAGGGATTTTTTAGTATTACAACATGATAACCTGATTACAGTTTGTCCAATATTTATAGTATAACATTTTTCTAAAGACACAAGAACCGAACAAAATGACACGGTATAAAATGTGAATTTGTTCATTCTTGATCAATCATACATTTTACAAGTTACCAACAAGAACAGTTCTAATTGATGAACAAAAACAAAATAGCTAATCGTGTAATTAAATTTCACAGCCAAAACTCACAATATAATTGATTGTTCAGAGAACAATTCAGTTTAATCTGCCTAGATCCTGCTATCACTGCCAAATAAATTGTATTGTTGGATTTTACTAATTGAAAAGTTGCCACTGTTATACTAAACAGGATTGATGGTAAATTAAATGAAAGGTGTAATTAATTTTAATGAAACCAAGCTGTTGTAATGAGAGGAATGTTTTTTCTTTCTTTCTTAGTACACTGAAATAATTGCAGTATGGATATTATTCATTTTCTTGAAAAATATAACTTACCTTGCTATAAATAAAAAGTTCAAATAATATTATTATCATTATTAACTTTTAATGTCATCATATTGATTTTTTTTACAAAAAAATATTAACAAATAACTATATTCATCTAGTTTGACAAAATAATATAAAATATATACTGTATATAAATATGTATATTATATTATATTATATTATAAAAACTGCGATTGTGGTTACTCTAACACATCAAAGAAGGTCAGTTGTGTGAAGATGTAGCTCTTGTGTTGACAAACATTGGAGACACAAGGATTACAAATATCTGATGATACTAACTATCACGGTTAGGGTGTTTAGCTAAAAAGCGTCTCGGCCATGGTAGAGGCCAGTTGAACTGTCTTGGAACTGGCCCACCCACATTACCCTCGAAGTAACAAAAGATTCGGAACCACCATATCCTCGACAGACAGTTATCTACAGTTGCTTGCTGCAAAATAATAATAAATATATTCCATATACCGATATACTATAATTTATATGCTTACCTTCAATTTTTTATGATTTGCTAATGTATGGTACACCCAGAATATCCGAGTCGTAACATAATAAGCTATTAAGACATCTACAGTATAATGCCCTCGAGCTAATAAAACAAAACAAATTCCTAGAAAGGAAGCAGTCCAAGAAGCCCAATGTAAAATAACAACTTTTTTAGGTGAATCTAAAAGCAAAAATCCAATTAATTAAAAACCTATAAAAGAAAATCTTTATATAATTTAACAGTTAAAAATATTTACACTCATTAATGATTAGGTAGCACAATACAAGCACAACAGTGTGACCACTGTAAATAAAATCTCCACAGTATGTGTGCTTTCCATTAATGGAGAGACCAAAACCAGACATTAGCTGGAAGACTCTCTTTGCAATGAGGAGAAAACCAGTCGAATTTGCTTTTGGAGAACAATAATAAGATGGGTTGGACAATGGCAATACAGTGACGTACATAGTCACTGAGCGCATCAAATACAAGACTGCCAATATTAGGAACACTCGTCGGAATACAATAAACCTAAAAAAAAAAAAAATCATAAAGTTAAGCAATCATCAATTATATTAAAAAATATATATTACATTTATGAAATTACCTATGTTTATGCATGACGATGACTAGGAAAGTAACATTGGTAGATATCATTATAATTACTTCGGAAATATCCAAAGCCCCAGGGAATGTCGGGATAATATCTAAAATAACATCTGGAAGAGGAGAGTATTTATTCTTATCAGGTACCCATTCATGAACCACTGCTAAAGATGCCGTTGTTATGATAAAATTTGATACCAAAATTATAAAAGCTAGAAAATAACAAATTTTTATTAGACAAAATTTTAAAAACACATCTTATAAAATTCATTACCTATAAAGGTTTTCCATTTTTCTTTGGGAAACTTTTCATCTCTAAGCGGATGGGGAAGATCTATATCGATCGCAGTAACACTGCCCCCTCCATTTATTACATTTCTTTTCAGGCCGTCGATCCTATCATCGTCATCTTCAAAGAAGTCCGTCTCGGCAGTGGTAACTGGTCCTAAAACGGTGCCTCCGTTTTTGGTAGGCCAAGGCTCCTGGGGTAACAAAGGCTGACGTTGGTACAAATCACTCTGTGTCATTTTACCTCCGTCGCTTGTGCTAACTTCTCCACCACCGACACCACCTATGCTACCATAGTCGTTATGGCCAACTCCAGTTTTTGCATCTAGCACCATCCTGAAGAAACATAAATTATTATTTTCAGGAATAATTTAATATAGAACATTTAAAAATTACAAAAATATATTGCCTAACACACGCCTGCTGAAAAATTTGGTGTTGCTTCCAGGATTTAACAAGGAAACCTTTCATTTTATTTTTACTTTTGAAAAAAGCATGAGTTCTTTTGACCGATCTTTGTATAAGTTTTTGTACATCTTTGATTATCATGATCTTTATAATTTATTTCATCAAGATATTAAGAGATCTTATTTATAAACATTTTCCCAAGCTTTTAGTAATTGAAACAAATAAAACTTGTTAAAAAAAAAAAAACAATTATGTTTCAATAACATGTCTATAATTCCAATATCATGAAACATCGGTATCCTTAACCTCAAATTTGGCTTGTTTTAGCCCAATTCACAAATGCGAATGCGTAAGTTAGAAAAATTGTATAAGAACATTTTATTAAAAAATAAAATCACTTTATCAGTTTTAAAAGCCAGATTGTTTTCTTGAAATGTAACATTTAGTAGCATTGGAGGCCTTGGCACATCTCCTTGCTCCTCCTTTTCTGTGATTAACATTTTCCTTGTCTTATCAATATACAATGCTAGTATCAAAATGGTTCATTTCTTCTAAGCTTTATGAGCATGGTCATGAACACTACCACTTTTATGTCACAACTTTCTTCCATTTTTAACTTTTTATAAAAATCAGTAAATAAAAAATATTTTTAAAAAAATCATAAATAGCATATGATTTTAACCAACAGTTGAGTTAATTAATCTAAATATTCCACAAGATAACAAATGTAGTTAAAGGAAGGAAGTATAGAGATGCAGCATAAAGCACCATAAAAGTAGCTACTATTGATAATGATATTACATTATTTTTACACTTTCATTTTTGTCGCTGAAAGGTTCAAATCAATCGACAGGCCATTCAAGTAAGTTATACAAAAGCAATATGAATTCTAAACAGTGAACAACCCATGCAGGTGTTATTGTTTATTGTAAAAATTTAGTATTTCTCCATCGATTCAAATTATTAGACAGTTATGTTTATCTGAACAGAATCACATTATCTACAACTGTATAGCAACAAACAGCAAATCACCGTCAGTGGATGAAAACGTGCTGATAGTAGTTAACTATGTTACTAAATAAATCTGACTTATGTATGTAATAATAAATTATAGGCAATATAATAAATAATGATGACAGGGTTACTTTCATTGATAAAAACGATACAGGCAAACTGGCACAGACATACTGTGGTCCTGAATATATCGAAGATGCGTTCAACAAGATTTCAAGGACATTAGGATTTAAAAAATATTATTCATGATTTACTTCATTCTAAACTATTATTCATGATTCATTCACTTGCCCATTCTAAATTCGGCATGTGACTGTAGAATGGCTTGTAGATCTTGTTTTACTATTAACCCCAAGTTTGCAACCATAAGTAGATTTGTTTAAGATCTGAATTATTAATAATTGACGAGGCATAATTGCTTGTTGTTTTCTTCTGTTTTTCTTTGTGTTTTCTTTCCTTTCAAACTAACCTTATCACTGATTTCTAATATAAAATTATAATATAGAAGTCTGATATTAATTACATCGGATATAATTGAAATATTTCAATTAAAATTGGCAGACTATTCAACCTCTTATTTATTTATTTATTTTTTTTTTTGGTTAAATGATTGAATTTGTAATAGTCAACAAAAACATTTTTTCTTTAAAATCAAACAGAATTATGATAAAACTACGTGAAATAATTTAATTTATGACCCTCAATCGTCAGTTACGAATCTGCTCCAATGGGCTGATAGCTGTTTTGGTTCAATAAACGTGAGGAAATGTGTTTTTTATTTCAATCTAAAATTTGTTTGGGGGCTAATTGTTATTACTTTATCAAGGGCCACTTAAAAATATTTCCTTTAACATCTAACTGGACATCAAATCCAATGAAATAATAGAAGTATATAATTTCTGAGTTTTTGGTAATGAAGTTTCGCAAATAAATCATTAGTGAGGAATCATTCTTGTGAGCTTTCATCACAGATGTATTTAAATGTTTCATTACTAATCGAGTAAATTTGTCGATTACTAATATTTGAATAACTGGGCTTTGATCTCTCGTCAATATTTGCAAATGTCGGATGTGACCTTGAGTGAGGAAATAGTAGATTAATCAAAATTTTATTTGTTGAACTATTACAACCAGGTATTTCATCAATGTTTCGGCAGGTCGGCTGGTACTTGTTACTGAAGGTTCACAAAAACCCAATTAAAACATTCACTTAAACTACTTAAAACATTCACAATGAATTTTTTTTGCATTGTTTTGGTCAAACTAAAATTTTGTTCAACGTCGGTTATCGAATTGAAAAGGGTTAAGAATTTTTTTTATTCACTGATAAGAGTAAAACATTTCTTCTTTAACATTTCGTAAAGTAATTAACAGGTTTTAATGAAATTTGGCAGAGAAACAAATTCCAGGATATTACTAATTACAATATTGAAGTTTGTGGCATGGGTGATTGAAGTCACGGTAGCTCAAGTGGTAGAGAAAGTCATGGGCTTGATCCCGCCTATGAGACAAATTTTTCATTTCGAAAAAATTATGTATTATTATTTGAGTAATTATATAATTACAATATTGTCAAAATGTTAATCTATTGTTTAGCACAATATACAAATAAATATTAATCTCGTCAAAATATTGTTAAAAATCATACAAGAGATACCAGAGAGGGAAACAGACTGATTAATCAGAATTTGAGTGGGAAAAGTGTGTTCTTTTGTTTCAAATTGGGCCTGATCACTGATTTTTTAACAGTTCAAAATAAAAGTCTGGTATCAATAAAATCGAGATAATACCTATATTTATATATTTAATTAAATCGAAGTAAATATCTATTTCCAAGTTGAGTTCAAACAAGAAAAAATATTTTTTTATTATAAATTTGCAAAATGTATATGTACTCAAGCAGACACCTAAAAGATCCTGCATCCTGAATATATTTAGTTGAACCATGTGTATGTTTATGACTAAAAAAGTCAAGACTTAATTACTAACTTTAATTTATAATGTAAGTTAAAACTTATTGTTAATTAGTTTATGGATGAGTTACATAAATGAAATATATTCAAAATACGCTCACGAGTTCGTCTGGAGCAAGAAAAATCAAGTTTTAGTACAAATTGCCACATTTCCACTTAATTGCATTCGGGATTGCGTACTGAAAAAATGGGTCGTCTTTCGTTTCGTAAAAACAACTTCGTTTTCCTAATGTGCCAAACGAAATCATAAATGATTCAAACCACTTATATTTTTAACTAAATTCGCATAGATTTTTTAATCAAAATCTGCGGAAACGTATTTTTCTAAGCGATTACCGATCGTGCTGTGGATTTCGTCTGTTTGGCGAAAAGAAACAGGATGGCGTTCGCAAATACTTAAAACAAACTTTTTTTTATCTTTCCAGATCTCTCTTCAACCCTTTTTCGAACGCATCTCTGGGACAACTTACATTAGTTCGAGAGCATTGTGGTGCCTGGCAGGCACTGGGTTGAAAATTGCCGTTCTTAGCTACACATATTAATTTTAACCCCCTAAAATTAATCCTTTATCTAAATAGTATAAATAAAATATTATACAAAAAATATGTTTATTCATTAAAAATTAAATAATTCCCAACATAACTTGAACTTTGATGGCTTTGACTCCTGGAAGGTGGGTGCAAAGCTTGTGAGACCCGACGTCGACTTTTTTTGGGCGGCTTACTGGCCCAGTTATCTTTCCATCTTACCAATATAAAAGTTTTTCTCTGCTTCTTTATCAATATCCTAAATACACTGCTCGGTTTCTGAACACAGAACACATTTTTCAACCTCATCTTCAGCATTAATATCACTCTCTTCCCCTAAGACTTCAATCTGTGAAGGTCTTCCTCATCTCCCTTCAACAACTGCTCTATTTCATGGACTCGTGTTTGAAAATGGTCCCGATAGGGCACATCGAGATTTTATACAGATATCCGAGCTAAATAAACAATGGAGGTGGAATAAACAAGAAAATACTTACCTTAAATAATAGTATGACAAATTGGGCGCAATGAGCTTAATAGTACACAAAATATGCTTACGACTCTCCGCAATGTCAGGTAACATAGCAGGGGTGGGGTTCAATGGGCCATCAAGGGACAGTATGAAACTTGAAAGCACGGGATAAGTAGGTGGTACAAAAGTTGTTCCCGACTGTGCCTGTCAGATCAGGTACGACCTCTCAATTGAAAGCAAAACTTTTTTTATCTTTTGATAAGAACCAACTCGTTTGTAAGAACTGAATAAAGAATTGATTAATACAAGGATAAAGTAATAAGGATAAGAACATTACGGCTACGATGATTGGGAAAGGAAAAAGGCAGCTTGAAATATTTTTTTTTAAACTTTGAAATTAGGATAATTACTCTACTGAATTTGTATATAGGTCAGTCATTATTCTTCCAAGTAAGACTCAAATAACCAATATACACCGTTAACTTGTTTGGTAGATGCTTCAAATGATTATGAAAGGTCTGACTAATATTATTTTGCAATTTCATCACAGCCTTTCAAAACACACATATCGTATTTATAACGTAATCTTCTAAACATGAACTTTAATAAAATGAGAAAGAAGTGAATTTTACATTGAGTAACTCTTAGTGTGCATAATCAATTAATAGGAATAAAAACAAATTTAAAAAAAATGATTAAAAGTTCCCGTATTAATATGATAGATAAAATATTCAATAATTATGTTGGATTTTGAAGGGGTGGGGAAGGAAGTTGGTATAGAACATTTTTGTATAAGACCAACATGTATAAACTAAAACAGCAATATTTCACTGGCACTCTCAACACAACACGCAAGCATGGCACAATTACACAGAAGACGAACACTTTGAGTGAGTAGAAATACTTTGATTGAATATAAAAAATATATTTTGCATTGTATAG